TTTGGGGGGGGGGGGGTAGAGAAAAAAAATTGATAATTGATAATTGAATAAAAAAAGGTGGGATTCGCAAAAGTTACACATGTTAGGAATAATTTCCCGAAAAACGGATAGAGTTGAATTTATACGTAGTTCTAAGGGTACGTGATATATCTTGATACGAATCGTATAAGCGAAAATATCGAGTATTGACTGTCAATAATGAAAATACTAACGAGGTTGAAGGGAGGATGATTTATGAATAGACCGGATGAAAATGATAGATAAAGCTCAAAATGATAATTTCTCAATATGAAGCATATGCACAACATCTAAGTTATGGTGTTTAAATGCCTTTATAGTTGTCTCTTTACAAAGATAATAGTCATCCCTCTTATAGTGGAGGGTCCTACTTTAAATATAATTAAAAATACATAGTGTGGAACCATGATAAGTCAACTTTTCTCTTTTTCCTGCCGAGATTCTCTCCCTTAGTGTGGTTGTAACGACTCTTGTCCATAGGCTCGATATTGACTCGAGCTCGATATTGATTCGAGCTCGATATTGATTCGAGCTCGGTTTTGACTCGGGACCCGGTATTGATTCAGGCTCAGCATTGGTCGGTATTTGGCTCTCAAGCTCGATAACGTTACTTCGCATCATGGTTCGATTTGGATTCGAGCTTGATAATGACTTCGAGCTCGGTATTGATCGGTCCCTAAAACTCGAAACTCGGTAACCCGGCTTCATATCTTATCCTGAATTTATGAAGATGCTCTTCGACGCTCTTTGGTCCATTATGTTCCCATCTCGACCAGTCGTACGAAGGCCGAAATCGGTTTCGACCGTATTCAAATAGTCTCATCATTTCTCAAGAAGGATGTGGAGAGAAAGGATATGATTTCCCAATGGCTCGATCAGATATACACTAACATTAGCATCGAACCCGTCCATGACGTACGTAAAAGATATCCCGTCGGTTCAGTTTATCAAGGCATTAAATGCGTGTCAGACGGTGGTCGGCCACTGCTGATATTGAATCGTCATTCCCTAATCTATAAATAACATATCTTTTTACCATTTATCACTTTTACATCTCCAATTTCCAAAATTTCTAAGCTCTTTCTTGCATCTTCTGAGTTTATCTGCAAGCCTGTAATTTTCACTGCAAAATCTTCATTCAAAACACCACATCTTTGTCATATCCTTCTATTTTAGATCTTCAAAACCAAAATGGTGAAAACATCAAAAATCGTTCCTCAAAAAGAAAAAACTTCTTCTTCACATCATACCGCCGATAAAACACCGGTGGAGCCACAGCCTGAGGAGTGTGTTCTCGGTGCGTATGTTCTTACCTCTGATTTTAAGGTCGATAAAGGCTCATCGGTTCCCGGCTGATGCGAGCCAGTATCGAGGTATATGTGTTCGATAACTGAGGGGCATCTCGAATAGATAAGTAAAGATTGCAACTGGGAGAATAAAGAAATGGTAATCCCATCTCCCGAATAGGATATTACTACTCATGTGAAAGGATTTTTAGGTGTGTATACTTACCCTTTCACGTTAGGTCCTCTCGACCATATTATCATTATTTTTTTTCGTCAATACCAAATAACCCTAGGCCAAATCCATCCTTCTTATTGAGGGATCGTTATTTTGATCTGTTTCTTTGTGAACAAAATCGAGGGGATGTCTTTCACCCTCGACCACCTCATTTGATTGTATAGCCCCCGCCTCTTTTGAGACAGGTTAATAAAACTTCAGCGTCGAGCCACTAAGGTTCTGTTCTTGAGTATAGACGAGGACAAGGATCGAGGCTGGATGGGTAGGTTCGTTCGAGTGAAGACTTCGGACCTAATACCGGCCGAGAAGATGCCATTTCCCGAGGAGTGGAATATGAAGCGTAAGTGTAACTCTGTTGTTATCTCATATTATTTTTTCCCTTCGTTTCTTTCTCACTGATATCCCCTTTTGTGATGCAGTGGTTCCTTGGATGTCCGGTGTAGTTCCTGACCTCAAGAACTGGGTACGGGACCTGGCTTCGACCTCTACATACGCCAAGCGCTCATAGAGTGATTTGTCAAAGGGCCGATGGGAGGCCAAAAATTATGGTAAGCCTCTTTCTCGTATCTTTGATAGTTTGAACGAAGTGTTTTCCATATACTTAATCAATTTTCTTGTGTGTAGGCCTGGGCAAAGATGTGGTTTTGAGGCCCCCATCCGGCGAGGAAGAGGCTTCGGCCTTTGTTCCAAAATCGGTAAAGGATAATAAGAGAAAAAATGGCCTTTACTTCTGAAGATCCAAAACCGAAGACGAGTACGGCTTGTAAGACGATGAAGAATACTATCCCTTTTACCAAAGAATCAGTTCGGCGTCTAAGGGATGAAGACAAGGAAGAATAAGATGACAGGTCCGTACTGGTGGCCCGAGTGAAAAAAACCATTAATGCCTCAAAGGCAGATGGATCGATGGTGGTTTGTGTGTCTCTGCCTCGAACTGAGGTGGTATCAGAGAAGGATTCGAGTAAAGTCCCCGAGTTAACGGAGGTCGAGGATGCCTCCCACCGAAGTCGACAACCGGTGGGTATATCCGAAAGGGCCAATCCCAAAGCTCTCCGTACCGAGGAGAACGCCCCAAGCAACTCGCTTGGGGCAATAGTAATCAGAGACTCGCCTACTCTCCCCGCCTTTTTCGAAGGGGCGATTCGAGAGGCCCAAGCTTTGGGGCCCTCGAGGTAGACGATCCTCACGAGGGAGATGACTCTTTTCGTGATTTGTTTATCGATATCGAAGATGCTGCCAGTCCTAGTGATGCATTGGGTCTAAGTGCAGCAGGTTGTGTATCGGGTAAGCCTTAACTCACTTCGTTGGTACCACCTTCATATTTCTTTTATAACTTCTTTTCTTCTTTCTTCGCAGGCCACATCGGTTCATTGAGAAGCGTGTTCTCGATCTCGAGTTGAGCTTCGTCGATACGAAGTAGAACTTCGACGGGTCACGGAAGAGAGGAACACCCTTAGACTCCTCTTCGGTCAAAGGGAAGAAGAA